CATATGAGCAGCAAAAACACGTTTTTAGACCAAATATTACAGATTTGGACAAATACGCACAAAAACTTCAAAATTAGCACAGAAACCATACTATACAACATTTTAGACACATTCTAGACAGTTTATCAGCTAAAAAAATTAATTTTGGGGTAAGTTACTCTTTAAGCACCTTTCCCTACAATACAATTTAAGTGATTGCTAACATTAGCTGATAGATAACTAGCAGCAAGCTAACTTTTCATAAGAAAAATAACTGTCCTCTCCTACATTTTGACTTATTTTTTGGTGCTTTCTAAAGAATAAAGTTTTTCCAAGAGCTGGACGTTATCAAACCATTACCTGCTCCAGTAGCTCTGACCATGGGGGTAAGGGGGAAGGTGTCGCAGGCTCACAGCAGCGCTTCTGCAGTGTGATAAGAAGCAGGAGCAGGGAAGGGGCGGAATGGAGGAAGCGGGCGCAGCATACTTTAAAAAAAATTTCCCCGGAAAAAGGTAGACACAGCTGTTACTGTCGCGCTAGTTACTGTCGTGACACACCTGATTTGATGGACTTTGTTAAAGGGACACTCCTGACTGGACAAGCAAAAAAGGGGCGTTACTGTACGGCACCCCTTTTTGTGGAGAACCCTATTTGGGTCAGATTTCTCCTGGTTAACCTTAGTGTTGGGATCAGGGTCAGACTGTAAAGTGGTCAAGCAGGGTCTAAGGATACCGTCATGTAGGCCTCGTAGCCCACAGTGTTTATGCTTTTGACACACCCACTCTTGTGACACGCCCACTTTGATTCCGCAGATAACCCCTTCTCACTGTCCCTGTTTGGCCAAAGTTGGTGGGGACATGTCACCACCAGTCCTTCACAAAGTTACACCCTTGCTTACAGGCAGACTTCAAACAAAGCTAGGTGGGAGCTCTGCTTGTGGCTGCCCAATCCATACCGGAAGCTCAATTGCGCATGCAGTAAATGATAGACTTCAGGAATGTGCTCGATTTAGGAAAAAATACTGAAAATAATTATTTCCGTACTTATTTATAAAGATTTGTTAAATTATATTCAGAAAACAGTTTTAATATTATAAACATTTTGATTAATAAATARAGATTTACGATGCGTACATATTTATTTATAACATGCAGACTATTTTCTAGACAATCATGTCATAATTCATCTTATCTTCATTTAATTTATTTCTTGGAATAAAAATCCACATCTGTTGCATAACCTTGTAATCTTCACAGTGTTGCTAAAATTCTTCTCTGGGTCGAAGCTTGTTTCTAATGGRGGACAAGTTCGGACGAACCACCTTAGTGCCGTGTGCAAAGCTCAGTGACGACGTCAGAAATAGGAGGAGGGTTATTTCTTTGGTCTGAATCAGTGATCACAACTTAAACAGTTCAAAGCAACAATACCGCAATTAAATGATAAACATTTGTGTACTTATAGAAAGTGAGTTAGTACATCAAACTGTTTGTTTTAGAGCTACTTAGCTCAGTTTATAAAGGTTATGCTAACTATTTAGCTAAAGTGAGTACAAATAACTAACTTCTTTTAGTAAGAAACACTATTGGGTTTTACAGTGTGGAGAGTGTTGTGCCTAAATTTGATGAGCTGGCACAGGAGCGAGCCACGCATTTCTTGACCGCTGCTTTAGTTTTTGGAATTAAACAATGGTAACACTAAAAGATATTTGTATACTTGTGTGACCAGCATTAAAGCAAAAGCGTGTGTCCGTTTAACATTTTTTCTCTCCAAAACTCACTATAAATGTTGAATGGATATGTGTAGGTGGGTAAATGAGGACACAGATTGTGTAAAGTACTTTGAGTAGCCTGGTTGGTTAGAAAAGTGCGGAGTAAGTAGTCCTTGCGTGCAGATTACTCCATTGAAATGAGGCCCTTGAGTGTTCTACCGGCTGTCAGCGTGGAGAATTGGGGAGAGTGGAGTGGCATATTCTGCATCTTTATGTAGGCTCATTTGACGATGCAATCCATTGGTGCATGTCATTAACCAGCTTTGCGCACGCAATCAAGTTTGCACGTTTTTATACATGCAAACCTTTACTAGATCAGGCCCTAAATGTGTGTTAGCTGTCAGCTTCATGTTGTTTAAAAATGTGATGAATCAGCTCAATTTAGTGATCCTCTGTAACTAATCTTTTAAACTAACTACAAAGTACTGTCCAACATAATTTTCTCTAACAAATCWCTCTCTTTGGTAATCCCGTGAGCGTACAGTTGTGCGCTGTTGTCATCACTTCATCACATTAATAAGTTGTGGCACCACAGCTTACTTTTTTTTTTACACGTCTGTGGTTCCACCTCTATTCCCGCCTCGCTCGATGGCACAAAGGCACATCAGGGGTGGGCTAACTTCAACCCTCCCTGGCTACCTCTGTCCTTTCAGAAGTCTAAAGTCCTGGCAGACAGGTGAAGAAGTTTACAGAGGTTTGCAACATGATTAAAATTGCTGTTGTTTTAAACCAGTTAACATTCAGGCCTGAAATATCATAAAACGCCTTAAAAAGCAGATACAAATTAAATGAAGTACTGCTTTTGAAACTTTTAGAGTAAATTCACAAGTGGTCTCTTTTTAAAGCTAATAATCTGAATTTTTAACTTCAGCAGTCATATTCTTTGTAACTGTAACTAGTATTTAGTATACTGAAGTAAAATACACAAAAATCAAGATATTTTCTCCCTAATTTTTAATTTTTTTTATTAATAAAGTATCACAAAACATGAGGGGAATGAGATATCAATAAAATATTTTTACTGGGCTAAAATATTAATTCCCAACTATTACCAGTTCAGATTTGGTAACAGTAGCATAAAATAAAAATATTTGAGACATAGTACAATCCAGCATGTCTCATTTTCATATTTGTACACCTGTATATGTCCAAACTGTACACTTTGTCTAAAACACTGTAATTTCTGAATGCTTCAACACAGAGACTTCACTCTGGGCTCAAATTAAAGATAAAATCCCCACAAAACACATTCTACCATCCATATTTACTCACAGCATGATTAAATTTAAAGATATATATTAATGTTCAGAAATATTTAGACAACCTGGAGTCCATTCAGCCAAATTTCCACCAATAACCATCCAAAACAAGAATAAACAAATACTGTATATCCTTATTTCTTTCAAAGCATTAACATTTCACACAGCTTATAAAACCACCAGCAGTTTAAAAATATTTTTTTTCACTTACATTTGATGCATATTTGTCCTCAAACAAGACGAAATTAGCGACTCAAAATGGCCGACCGGAAGTGTTTTTTTTCCAAACAAAATACTTCTCCTGGCCACAAAAATCACTCTTCCATGTCTTGAAGCACTCGAAACACTTAATAACAAATATATTTTCATCTTATCAGCAGGTTTAGTCAGCTAACTGGTCAAAAAACGATGGAAAAAACGTTTTTCTGTGAGCGTAGCTTTCTTCGGTAGCACAGCAGGACTGTCTAAATACGGTGACACTCCGTGTTTACCTCGTCCATCACTAAACAAAGTTTCCACCCCCTCAATATATACATCAAATGAAAGGTACGGTGATTGGCTACACAGCTGTGGCATCAGAACGAAGCTCGGAGCTGACTGGCCAAATCTACAGTCAATATAGTCCAGGATGATGAAATCCAGAAGTTGGTCCCTTCTCAGATAATATCGGCTCTGGACAGCCGATACTTTAACCCAGTTGGTCAAATGAGATGTCAATCGAAAGAGGAGGGCCTAGACGTCAAGTTTGGTGCATTGCACACAGACACAGGTTGAACAGAAATACAGAAATGACATTACAAAATAAAACGAAACAAAATGACACGCGGGCGTTCCGCTGAATCTTTGGTTTTAACAGGTGAAGAGAACATTTAMTTTTGTAGGACTAATGTCTTCTTATATCCTGGTTATAAACAGTTTCAGTATATTGTATAAACCAGGGTGAAATGTTGTCCAGGTCGTAGAGTCAGCGATGGACTGTGGCACTCTGTCAGCCTCTCCAGCAGGAGTCTACAGATCAGTTTGACTGTGGACGGTGAGCCCTCTTCTAAAATCGAACTATGGGACCAAGTGGAATCCAAAGGCAGCTTCTACTTTGGAGGTGAGTGAGTTATTCTCCCACTGTGTTTAGTTATCTCTCTCCTCAGCTCCCACTTTGTCAGTGACTACTTTCTGTGACTAAACAAGAGCAAAACTGAAGATTGTTTTTGGTGTCACTTCTGTCCAGGCTGTCCTCCCATGGACTGTCAGGCTCCTTCCTTCCAGGGCTGCATGCAGCTCATATCCATCAACAACCAGCTGCTGAATCTCACTCACGTGCAGCAAGGATTGCTGGGAAACTATAATGAGCTGCAGTTCGACACGTGTAACATGAAAGACAGGTAAAGTAGTGGTATTTCTTTTCTCCACTTTAATTAATTATGAGGACATTTCTCCCAGAGAGCTGACAGGAACTTCCTCTCCGATGACTGAATGTCAGATTTTATGTGAGCTGGCAGCACAGAGCCGTTCATGCCCTGGCTGTTAATTTGCGGATGGCAGTGTGTTGTCGGCGGCACAGCCTAAAAAGTCACTGACATTCTGTCCTGTCAAGACAAACAAGCTGACTGGATCCTCCAATTAAAGTGCAACAGAAACATGGCACCACCTTCCTGGGCAGAGCGCTATGCTAACAAGCTGCTCCCCACTGTCCTGTGTGGCGTGCTCTCCCTCATTATCCTGCGCAGCTGTGGGCCCTGGCAGACCCACGGGCTCCAGGAATGGCTGCATGCGGAGGGGAACAGTTATAGGAACGAGGCAAACATGCAAACTGCCACTTTCCGTCGTTTTTGCCCCGGGGAGAATCGTGCCTTTGTCAGATTTCAGACTACCTGCTTTTTAGCCCAGATTGTTCTCAGTTGGAGGAGAGGCAAACACAACAGCCCTGCCAGTCTGTTGTGTCAGTGGGTAAAGAGATGCTCTATAGGAGGAGACAGAATGATAGAGATGTTTTATTTCCCAAGCTTATCCAGGCTGGTTTTATTTATTTATTTTTTTTCAGCACTAATGTCTTGTTGGATGAGAGAGGACTGAAAAACAGTCAAGTCTGGCTTGAAATTTGACTCTGAAGCATCAGTCCTATGGAAGGATTATCCTGACTATAATCAAGAGCGTATATTTTCAGTTCCTGTGCGTGTAGCTGTGAGATTAAAAGAAAAACTGCATGGGGAAACAAAGGAGGGGAATAAATGTTTGAGCGTCGCAGACAAATGTAGTGTGACGYTGTTTTCCACTCTGTTAAATCACTGATTGGGGGTGTCCTGAGACACTGCATGCCTGAAAGTGTCCACCCGGAGAACCACACACCTTCATTAAAGCATGAGACACTCTCTACACATCAACATAAAATTCACTTTTGAATCTAAAGAAGACGTGTCAGCGTTGAGCTTCATATGATGACCAGCACATCAATTTTTGTCCCAAGAGCGTGGAAGCTGCAGATGACCCTTTGATTCTGATAAAAAACAGATAAAATAAGATATTTTTGTTACAATTTTCAAAAAATAATCTTGAAATAAATTTTGTGCAGTTAAATGCATAAAAAGCTGCAATGAAATGTTTTAAGAAACTGACTGATCATAAATTGTTTTATGAAAAATTAAAAGGTAATTTAGCAAATATTGTTTTTGTTTGACCAGAATAATTATGGTGTACAGCTGTTTACCATTATAATTTTAAATACTTYAACACAGGCATTATTGAGCAGTTTAACACTGCAGTCATCACAGGTCCTTCATGAACAATATGTCCTAAAATATTTACAGCCTGATTCTTCTGCTCCAAACACAGCAGTTCAAAGAGATTTATGTGGTTTTCTGCTGGTTCCAAGGAAATGTTTAAAATCGTTTTATTGGCAATGCATATACAATTAGAATTAAGAGGTTTACATACACTGTAAAAAATTAATAAGCAAAAACAAAGTCATTTTTGGTCAGTTAAGGTATTTGCAAGAGCAATAGCTGCGTTTCCATTGCAAATGTGCGCAAAACTTTGTCGATATTCTGTTAATGTCGAAAACACAGTTTCGCAACTGCAGTGTTTCCATTAAGTAAGAAATGCTATTAAAGTCACGCATGAATACGTTTGTTCTCGCAATAAGTCATTTCAAACATGGCAGCGATGGATGTAAACACATAGCATGTTGCTACCACGACACTAGCGCTCATCATCAGAGGAGACGTCGGCGTCTTTTATCGAGGCTTTCCAGAGACAAGRCCCTACTTGGGAGCAGAGTTGTAAAGTAACTAAGTACAAATACTTTGTTACTGTACTTAAGTAGAAATTTTGGTTTTCTMTACTTTACTTGAGTAATTATTTTTCAGCGTACTTTTTACTTTTACTCATTACATTTTTACACAATTATCTGTACTTTCTACTCACTACATTTTTTAAAAAGGAAAGAAGTAGAAAGTCGTTACTCCTGTTTTATTCTGAGTTATTACTTAAAAAATACTTTCCTGATAAATAGTGTGTCCTGGATAGACTGAATTTAATTGTGTTTGAATGAGAAGTATAAATATTCTGACACACTATTATCTTGTACACAACCCATCACAGATGCACGCTGTTAGAAAATATAGTTTTTGGAGAAGTCACCTCCCAATAAATGTCATTTTGTAAAATCTAACTGCTCACTTTTACTCAGTACTTTTACTTTTCATACTTAAGTAGATTTTGTGTCAGAAATTTACTTTTGATACTTAAGTACAAAAAATATCAGATACTTTAAGACTTTTACTCAAGTAATATTTTTAGAGAAGACTTTAACTTTTACCAAAGTATTTTTCTGATTAGATACTTGTACTTTTACTCAAGTATCACTTTGATGTACTTTATACAACACTGCTTGGGAGCGGCTACYTATGCTGTGTTTTTTGGGAAATTGCAGTCGGTGAGTTTACCACTTTCTTTTACTACTTCTATGATTTTACTACTACTTACTTGCTGTTATCTTCTTCGTCATCGTCTTTTTCACTAGTAGAAACATCTGGTTCTTGATCATGTGACTCCCGTAATGRGAAAAAGGTGTTTCCATATTAGTTTTGTGAAATACATCAGTTTCGATACGGCTGAAATACCACCTCATCCTAGGGCAAAAACATTTTGTCAAAAAAGTAATTTTTTTTTCGAAATTGACGTGTTTCCATTGAGCAAATTACGAAATTCTAATTTGCACATTTTCATGGTCAATGGAAACGCAGCTAATGAGGGACAGCATTTTTTTTCTATACCTAAAGATCACTATTCCTTTAAACACTTGTGGAAAGGTCAGATAATAATGTCATGAGAAGCTCATGACTGGTTAGATATCAGGACAATTATTTTTTGCCCTTSACATCTCTGGTTCATCCTTGAATCCAATTTCCAGATGCCTGAATGTTTCATGTTCCTTTGTTTAAACAATTATARACAAGTACAAACACCATGAGAATGTCCTGCCTTCATATTGCTTAAAAAGGAGATGTGTTATGCGTTCCTGAGATGGATGTGTTTTCGTGTGAAATATGCATATACAGTATGTCTTTTTGCTTGAGCCTTTGTCTCAGCATTGCAGCAAAGGGCCAGTATGTTTCTCAGGCATAMAGTTCAATTCCATACCAAAATCTAGTAACTGTGTCACCTCAAGTTGTTTTGAAAATGAAGTCAGTTTGTATAAATCAAAAATAAATCAGACTTTGCATTACAGTCGTTTCAAAACGCCTTGAAACTGGCCTCTGTCTCTTTAAAAACCTGCTATTGTTTCCGTCACTCGCTTTTCTGCACCTCATCACAACAGCTTAATGCCGTTTGCAACCTGTCTGAGGAGTGTTGTAATTTGTTTTAATAATAATAAAGAAATAGCAGCAACATTACACAATATTGGTTTTGGAAAATAGCAATTCAGGATACAACTGAATGTTACTTGAATGATCTAATGTCGGACCTAGAAAATAGGTTTTCTGAAGAACCAGAGCGAGTACAGAGGGGATGTTTCAGCTTGGTAAGATACAGTATCTCCCAGTCATCCTCACATACATATATGTCAATATTAATTACTACTAAAATGCGGTGTAAGCCAACTAAAGAGCACAGATTGTAATATAAGCAAAGAATGATAACTGTAGATCAAACATAGACCAAACAACTGAACAACACAATGCAAGTTGTTTCTCAGCTTACCTGGGCAGACGATACGGGTGTATCAATACATCGATCTACACTTACCGGCCACTTTATTAGGTACACCTGTCCAACTGCTCGTTAACACTTAATTTCTAATCAGCCAATCACATGGCGGCAACTCAGTGCATTTAGGCGTGTAGACAT